GATTCTTCCGTCACCGCTTCCGATTTCCATATGCTGGTGGCTTTCGCTTTGGATGGCGTTATCCTCTTGGCTACTGGAACACAATCGGCCGTCCCATCTATGGTCCGACCTGCCTATTTGGTCGTCCTTTTGGTGGCTTTTTCTTTTGCTAATACGTGGTGAAACAAGCCCCGATAAAGTCAAAAGCACTCGATGGTAAGTGCATGACGAGAGCAATGTAATTCTGAGTTGCGTTAGTAATAATCAATAAACTTACTTTTTTTTTGGTATGACACCATTGTTTATTGTTTATACGAGTATGATGGCGTTGTTTGTTTGGCATTATGTGTTTGATGCGTTGTGCTTGCTAATTAGCAGAGAAGAAATTTATTTGTTCTCTTGTTTGTTTGTATTATTTATGGCTATCATTCGCATGTCCAAAAACATCTATTGAATTTGAATACGATTTTCAAACAAACCTAGATTTAGATACGAACAATATATACATGAAAAGACTAATTCACTATGAAGATGAGCTAAAGTAATCTTTTTGATCGTATGAATCTGAAACCTAGAATTGGAATGGTTTATCCTTTATTGGATACTTCCTTCGTATCCTAGGAAGCTCTCAAATCAATGCTTGTTGCTCCCTGGCATCTTCTTGGTCTCAATATCCACTGGCCCAAGTATGCGTAGGATGCGTTAGCATCATTTACCCCAAAAAGGTGACAATTTGTGTCGATGCAGTTGACTCCAATATTAACTCCGTACACTCTCAAAAATGAAGTGATATCTAACGCTTCCGTGCTACACCCGAGCATGAATTCAGCGTTGTTGGTGAATGTGATCGCTCCTTGGTTGTCTTCCCAAACATGTGTGCTTTCCACCGTTTGCTTATGATCTTACGCATTGCACGCGTCCACAAGGGTTTTTGAAGTGAAAGCCAAATGCTCAGCCTCAAGCTTCGCGAGCCAAGTGTAATACCTTTCAAATATCTCGACTTGAGTACCTTTGGTGTGCTTTGAATTATGATCATACTCCTTGAATCGGAGCGTCTCAAGATAATAAATGCGTATTGTGGAATCAATTAGCATCCAAATTTCCCTCGACCGCAATGTTACAACTCTCTGGGTAGATGATGGTGGTTTGGCGCACACGCTTCACATGCAAATTGCTGCATTCCAATGTTGCAGTTCGGGTTTCTGCTAGGAATGACAAAGGTGGACTCATTGTCGTTACTGTTCTTGCGTATACGAAACACTTGTGAAGCAACGGAAAGCGACGATGCAGTGGAGAGGCGTGAAGCCATTGATGTCAAATTTCAAGCTCATGAGCAGAACCAAAGCATGAGTATTAAAGCCAGAGGGAGACCACTTGAACAATTAAATCGCGATGGGATTTTGCGATACAAAGGGTACTGTTGTGGCGAAAGGAATGCATGGGATCGGTTGCTTTGAAGTTTACCCCTGGTTGCCAACATTTATTAAATCAGGATGCGGTGCTTACCAAATGCAAGCGTCGGATAGAACAGCTGGATGTCGATACAGCTATTCTGAATAGAACCTCATTCATAATGAAGTTTTGTCCGGTATAAACAATGTCAATGTCCAGGAATAGGTATGTCAACTGAAAAATGATATGTACTCGCTTTAAATATCAGCAAGTGCCAAGAGCAAGACAACACACCATCTCATTGTGGCAAAAAACTTCGAGGGCTGCTAAAAGGCAGTGAGTTAATGACATGCCAACTCCGGGGCGTTATGTATGTGAACAATATTTGGATAATTTTCACTGCAAAAAACAAACAGGAACAACCCAGGTCAAGGGCAAGTGCTCAAAAATGCAATCGAGATCAAGGGGCGCAAAAGGGGGGTTAATTTTCGGGTGCTAAGACCGACCACGGTAAGTCAGCTCATATACTTATGATCAAGCAGACTTGCTTCGTCGACGATATTGTCAAGCAATTCGATCAGCTAGGTGCCAAAAATTTTAACAGCCCATGCGCATCAGGATTTGAATTGTCATCACCGCAGTATTTTAAGACGGAGAAGAGATATACCCAAAGGCCGGATCGATTTTTGATTGAAAACAGCTGTACATGACGAATGGTATTCGACCAGATGTGGCATCTGTGAGAACAAAGCAGTCAGGCTCCTTGAAATTCGAACTGCAGCATTGGAATGCAGCAATTTGCATGTGAAGCGAATACGCCAAACTGCTATCATCTACCCAGAGAGTGGTAACATTGGGGTCGAGGAAAATTTGGATGCTAATTGATTCCACAATACGCTCGAATTCAGAATTTATTATCTTGAGACGCTCCGTTTCTAGAGGTATGGTCATAATTCAAAGCACACCAGAGGTATTCAAGTCTATGTATCAGCAGATAGTTACATCTGGCTTGCATAGCATGAGGCTGAGCATTTGGCTTTCACTTCAAAAACCCTTGTAGACGCGAGCGATGCGTAAGATCATAAGCGAAAGGTGGAAAGCACACGGGTTTGGATAGACAACCAAGGAGCGATCGCATTCACCAACTACGCTGGATCAAGAAGGGTCCAAGGTGCAAGAGGCATTAACAGCAGGTGAGAGTGCTGTTAAGACGCTGGTCACTTTGTTTCGAACAAAATTTACATTTATTAGCTCAAAATTCGAACTTACATTCGTCCAGTGTTGGTTCAAATTTGTCGTAAGAAGACGTGTCACCTACTAGAAATACTTCAGCCGGAAATGTGGTGAGTTTGTTAAAACCTCGTCTTAAGCACTAGCACAATTTGAATTAGCGAGCGGCTTAAATATATGTGTGAGAATGGAAAGCTTCAACATCATGACTTTAAGGTATGATGGTTATTCGAGCCACTTGAAAACAAGAGCGTAAACCATCAAATCAGCAGAAAATTTTCACCGCTATAAGCTTCTGATCAGTTGCTGTTTTTTTCTATACCTTAGTTACCATAACAATCCTGAAGTTTTCTTTGAGATACACAGATGTATGCATAACATTTAAAGGCCTCCCTGATCTTAAATCCAGCGATCGGAATGATAGTAGTGATCCTCGTTTGTCGTCTTCGGCATACTCTGAATTCGCTCCTCGTTTGACGTCTTCGGCATACTCTGAGCTTGTAAAAACATAGTTAGCCACGGGTAGCTTCGGATCAAAGCTGTCGATCGATGATCAACCAAGATAACAATCTACAACCAGCTCTAATTTTTCGTCTCGATTCTAAAGAAAAAACTGTCAGGCACCCTTTCACTGGGATCTATCTACTGCACTTATAAGTTTATCTGCTATTTACTTAGCAGCCAGCCGTGCGCTAATCATTTGACGGTTTGCTTGCGATTCCTCGAAAATGATACCAGAGCAAGCCAGGAAGGAATCAATGATAGCGGCAATTGCAGTTTGGTGGTTTTAACGCTACATAATGAAGCTCACGCAATGCGTGCCATTTCAAATTTGTGCAAAAAAATCAATGGGTTCATCAACCAGGATTTTTGAAAATTTGCAAGCTGAAGCTGCTGAATCTTTACTTTTTTCAACTCAGGCATGGTAGTTGTCAAAGCGATATTCAATATTTTACTATCTGCTTCACTTTCTCAATCACGATTGCATCGTCTTACAGTCAGAGTTATTCTCTTCATTCTAAGAAATCCACAGTGTGGCTCCAAGCCAGGGCTCATAATCCATTGTTTTTATGATTGTGTGACCAGATTAAGTCAGGAATCCGCAGAAGAAGTTTTATGTAGCGAATTAGGACGGTGTAATAACGGCACCGATAGAACAAAAGCATTCGAAAGAATATCTTTTTTACTTTATAATTACCAACAAATTATAATAAATCTATGATCAGAGATATTCTTGATCATCGGTCAAATGGAATCAAAAAACACCCAGAAATAGTCATAAATTGTTAACGGGATTCTGAGACAGCAACTCATAAGGATTATTCGTTAGGTTCTTTTCTGCTCACTCGTGTTAGTGGCGTAAACAACAAATCCAATTCCACATCAAGATGATGAAGCACCGCATTCTCGCGCTACTCATAATATCTCGCATTTTTCTAAGTTTTATCATACTTACAATACGGCAACGAACAACGAAAAAATCTTCCGACTGGTGCGATATTCGTAGATGACAAGGGACCAATCATTGGAGCGAACAAGAAACATATCATTGGAGTTCGTGGTCGATTCTTCTGTCATCGCTTCTGATTTCCATATGCTGGTGGCTTTCGCTTTGGATAGCAGTATCCTCTCGGCTTGTTGAGTTGTGCGCAGTAGAGCGCAAAATGTGAAGTGAATATATTTTAGGTCCTTAGTTCGCAAACTGATTGCTAT